GAAAATATGTGAATTGTGAACCCTTTTGTTGAACAAAAAGAGACAGCGCTTTCCCATGAAGAAACCATTCAACTTATTGAATTATCATCGGACAAAGTACAGGAAAGTACTTTTAATATTACGAGTAATTCGAAATTCTGAATGAACAATGAGAATCCAAATTTACATGACAGAGCAGTGAAATTTCTTCTTTGTTTTTCCACCACATATTTTTGTGAAACTGCGTTTTCTGCCATGACTGCGCTTAAAACGGAACAGAGGAACTGCCTGCAACTTTCTGACTTTCTTCGTTTGGCTCTCACTTCAATTCATCCCAGAATTTATAAGCAAACGGACGGAAAACAGAAACAGAAGTCTCACTAGCCTAACTAAAACCTTCCAAACTTAGTTGTGCTAAAAAAAAACTTAGTTTAACTTCCCAGTAACTTGTAATTACTGTGTTAAAGTGCTGCGTCTTTAAAATTAAAATATTAATTAGTGCTAGAAGTAGCATTTAGGATTGAGAGATTCATACATTTTTATTTATCAAATTACAGACTTTACATATATAATTATTTGAAGTGTGTATATGATAATAAGTGTTTCTCCGGCAAGTTTACACCCTTCTGCTTCTTTCCCTACTCAACTGACTTCTATGGTGAGTTACAATGCATAAATATTTTTCTCACTGCCTTTTTTTTCAAACCAACATCATTAAAATCAATATAATAATACAATAATCAATTTTACGCTGAATAACATAAGTTTTTGGTGATCAGCATGGGATATGTCAATGAAAATGAGCACAAATTAATTTAATGATGTTGGTCTGAGGAAACTACAAAATGCTACAAGATTTCATTTGTCCAGTGATTGAATACTGATTTAAATGTAATTTTATGTTTGTCAACATGCCAGCCCCTATGCATAAGTGTACTAATACTCTTTATGATTATGCTGTAATTAATTACTAATATTATGTTAGCTTAATGCATGAACTTTAACAAAACAGGAAAGGTATTTACGAGTAAATTTGTTGGGACTAGGCCCTCGTCTTATAAAACAGAACTTACTGGGCCGCGGTGTCATAAAGGTTGAGAACCACTGCTTTAGAGAGACACGTATTTCTGTAAAACACCTACGTGAAAGCTGCTAGAAAGTGTCGGCGAAAATCTCGAAGTAAATTTCGTGGTGAAATAGTTCTCAGCATAATATCAATTCACAATTCGGTGAATAAATTCACAACAACGCAGTTCTCAATAGAAAACACACAAGAACATAAGCGCCGAGTGCTTACTGAGAAGTTATAAGACATAGGGGTCAAACTTGGATATGCGCGTACACCTAGAAAATCACTGAAACCTCTTTCTCAATGGACTGGAGTGTCAAAGTCTAGTGTAAGAACGGCAACACATTCGCTGAAGTGTCGATCCTATAAAACAACAGCAATCCACGCTTTGCAGCGACCGATTCAGCTATCAGTGCTGCAGTTTTTGCGGTTGGTTTCTACAGTCTGTCGTCAAATATGAGATCGATTCACAATTGACATTCTTTTCTGATGAAGCTTAGTGTTACTTTGAGGGATTCATAAATACGCAATATATTCCCTACTGGAATTCATATAATCCACATCTATCCCACGAAGCCCTGCTCCATCCAATGAAAGTTGGTGTCTAATGCGCTGTAAGTACAAGAAGGATTGTTGTGCCTGCGGGTTTAAATAATATAATTAATTGCCAGAGATAAACAGGATGTCCCAGGAGGAATGTGCCAGACTTCGGGAGGCTGTTCCTTATGTTAAAGTATGCCGATAAAACCCAAAGCACCTATGTCCAAATTTGAACGGTTACGGAGATAATGACCCGAGAAAACTGTGGTCTTCTGGCGGGTCCACGCACTGTACCTGTCAGCTGACAAGTCTTATTGATGTTTGTCTTTCAGTGTGGTGATCATGGCTCATACTAGCCGCATACACTCCCATATCAGAATGCGCAGTCAGTCATGTTACGTCAATGCTCGCCATTCATGTGTCATGTATAGTGCTTGGAAACCTAACGACAATTATGACATGGCGTGCGAGTTTTTTTATAGTCCAATTTAATGGCTTCATGTCACTCACAAGTTAGTTTGATGTTATATACATTATTAGCATTACAGAAACCATGTATTCCTGCCAGTTTTAATGTGTATTTGGTAGTCAACAAGTGTGTAACACCTGTAAAAGTTTCACACTTCTCTGCACATTATCTCCGTAACCGTTCAGCTTTAGACATAGGTGTTTTGGGCTATATCGGCATACTTTAACATAAGGAACACCCTCCCGAAGTATGGCACATTCCTCCTGGGACACCTTCTATACATGTAGAAGGAGAGCATTTTCAATGCCTGCGGTGATCTGTGAGCTATAACGATTTCTTTCTGAACGTTATCAGCCGTCGGAAATGCTGATTCCGCTGCAAAATTCGTATACTCCTTGCGGTAAGCGGCGCGCCGGTCGCCCTGAAGCACAGAGCCATAGAACCGGCTAACAAAGTAAGAATATTCTCTGTATAATACAGGGATTGTTTTAAATCTATTGATGTGTTCACGGCTCCGCACTTCACCGCTACCAGGGCATCGCCGGCCGCTAAGCGCACGCGAATTCTGTCCATGACTCAGCATGCTTGACGGCCGATCATGTTTGGAATGACCGAAAATAGTTACACCTCTACACAGTATAATGTTACACGGCAGGATGTTCAGTTCATGCATGGGAGTCTTTTTTTATGATTTCTCAGTAGTAGGCAGCACTTATCAGCGCTATGAACCTTTTGTTCCCAGTTAAAAGTTAGTTAGCAGTTTGGCACGACATGGTTCGCGATACTTTGGGGCAGAGGTTCTCAACATTTGTCAGATCGCGGCGCGGTATTTTTTTTCTATAAGACGAGGGCCTAGTATAATCGAGGCAAGGGCCCGACATTTGAGAAACATTATTTTAGAGTAACGTGTATTTCTGAATGCAACCTGTGTGAAATACGGATCTGCTGGAAAGTGTCGGCGAAATTTTCGACGTAAATTTCGTGATGAAAGAATTCCCAGCAGACAAAGAATTAATAAATTTGTGAATAAACTGAAAACAACAGGGCTCTTAACATAGAAAAGGAAACGAAACATAAGCGTTGAGTGATTACTGAGGAGAAGTGATCCGTGTGATTTTCCTTCTGGGGTTGTTTGAAGGACAAAATTTACAGCAGTAACCCTCGAACGGAAGGACTGAAAGAATACATTCGTAAGGAAAGGTCAAATATTCCTGCAGAGAATCTTCAGAAGGCAAATCAAAATCCCTTCTGCCGGTGCGAGGAATGCCTACGTGTAGACAGACAGCATTTTCAACATCTGCTGTGATTTGTGAAGAAAAGTAAGGACTTCCTTCATTGCAAATGTTATCGGCATGCTGAGTCATCGGTAAACCGCCGGTGCGCATGTCGCGGTGAAGAGTGGGTTATTGAAGTGTGAAGATAAGTGCAAGTCACTCTGTACATAGCAGGATGCATTATACGTACAGGGGATGGATAAAAATATGGAAACACCCAACAAAAAACACATAACCGTGAATAATATGGTATAGGACAACCTCTGGTTTGCAGAACTGCTCGCAGTCTCCTTGGAATGGATAAATAAGGGCCTGTATGATTTGCAAGGGAATCTTGTACCATTCTTCCTGAAAAACATGGTAAGTTCTGTTATCGATGATCGAGGTGGATAGCGCGCCCGCAGATTGCTCTCCAAAGCAGACCACAAAGGCTCAATAATATTGATATCTGGCGATTGTGGGGGGGCCATGGCATACGTGACACTTCATCTTCGTTCTCAGAAAACCAGTCCTGGACGATGTGAGCTATGTGAACACAGACATTGGTAAATGGCATCACCAATAGGGAACAAAGTTAGCACCATGAGATGGACCTGGTCGCCCAAAATGGTCACACAGTCGTTGGCAGTGACGTGACCTTGCAGGGTAATGATGGGTCCGACAGAATACCACGATATGGCTGCCCACACCATGATCGAACCCCTGCCATGTCTCACTCTTGGCAGCAAACAATCTGGATCGTAAGCTTGGGATGGCGTTCTCCAGACATAAACTCGGCCAGAAGTCGGAAACAGTGTGAAGGTGGACTTATCCGACCAAATGACCGTCTTCCATTACTCCATAGTACAGGTTTTATGACTTCGGTACTACATTGTCCTCTTAGCGGCATTATGATCACTGATGAGTGGCTTTGGCATTGCAGCTCGTTCAGAAATACCCTGCTTGTGGAGTTCCCTTCATACTGTTTTGGTGCTGACTGGTTTGTGCGCGTGACATTCAGTTCAGCAGTCACTTTTGCAGCTGTAGTCTTCTTATTCTTCGTCACAATCCTACGCAATGTTCTTCTATCTCGATCACTCAACACACACTTCCGTCCACGCTGGTGTTTAACGGATGCGATTTTTTCAGTCCTCCTGTATGCGGTCATTATCTTGGATACTGTGCCTCGCGAAAAACCAAAAACCTCGGCTACCTTGGTTACGGAAGCACCCACCATATGGGCCCCAACAATTTGCCCACGTTCGAATTCTGTTAGCTCTGACGTGATGCACAGAAAATTGCACAGAATACTGTCTCTACAACAAATGAAGCTTGCAACATATTGCGGAGGTTGTACAGGGAGTGGTGTTGGGCAGATACGACAGCGTGACCTACAAACTTCGCTAAAATAAACACTTCAATTCAGGCATGCATTTCACGAGGTGTTTCCATATTTTTGTCCATATCCTATATATACAATATGTAAAAGCCCCCTGTCAGTCTGTGGTATAGGGGTTGAATAAATATATATGTATATATATGATAACATGATGAAATTGATGATGAGCAGTTGCTTTTCATTGTTCACGTCGATCGTCTGGTGCGGTCTACTATATACAGAAAGCACAGATGATATTGTCAGTGGTGTCATAGGCTACAGAAAGGGTATATTTTTTATGTGTGTGAAAGCATTTTTTGCAGCAACTCGCGGGAACTTGTGTGGTGGAATCTCTGTATAATGTGTACTGCTGTGAGCGTAGTACGCATATGAAGTGCATACGAAGCTATAGTTCGATTCGCTCAATTGCTTATTTGGCTTGCCCTGAGCGCCCTGAGCGGACGGAGCAACGTAGATCGGGAATGTTACGGTAGTTACTTCTTGTGGCATAGGCTGACTAGGCTGTAGATGACAATTTAGTACCATGTCGGATAATACAGAATTTACTTCGGAAAACGCACGAGGTAATGACACATGATGAATCTAAGATTAAGAAGACATTTAAATGAGTAGCCAGGCGTAAACAGCCGTGTACACAGCCGCGCCTTTATAAACTTACTACTGCAGGTTGACACAATGTTCTCTCTAGCCTGAGGTGCGTTTTACACATGGAACAGAAATGGTATTAACGACCAATGCTACGCAATATTGCTTTGTGTCAGAGATCATCAGTGTAGGAGGTAGTGTGTGACAGGTTGTAAGGTGATGCTGTTAGAAACTTAACCTCACGTTCAGTTTTAGCGAGAGCGAATTTTGATGTTGGGTACATTTGAGCAAATAAGGAACGAAAACCTTTCAGAGGCCCTGGTGAGTCCGTTGAAGGTGAGACCAAAGGTTCCTTGTGATGGAGATTAGTTTCTTCACCATCAAGAAGAATGGCCTGGCTAGCAGAATAAGTGGGTCAGGAAAAAAAACACTCTTCTCAAGAAAACTCAAGGCTTGACCGCAGTCTACAGCTGGGACCTGTGGTGGGGGCCCTGCTGTTCCTGTTTGTGAATAACAGGAGGGTAGCTGGGATATCCTGCTCTCAGTAGCCTCAAAGAAGAGACTGATTTACATGCCCAACCAGAGATCTGTGGCTATGTGTGATTAGAGCTCATGAATATTAGGAGGTCTCAGTCTGGATGGTTCTGGTTCTAGTACTAAGGTTGAGGCATTCAAGGAACCAAACAAGACTGGGGGTGCACATTGGACCTGGTAGTGATTTGAGTGCTTGGGGTAAATCTTAGCACACACACCCCTCCACCTCTCACTGTCAGTTCAGTTCAGTTCAGTTCAGTTAATCAAATTGAGACTATAATATTTGTGGTTTATTTCATGACTGCCAGTACCTTAAGCTCTGTAGTTTCAAGTTGTAGGATTTTAAGTGAATAATGAATTCGAAGGGATGTGGAAGGAAGTTGTCATGGCCTGATAATAAATATTGTTCAAGGATTTGCGTAAGAGACTGAGGAAAGCAAGAGAACCTCAGGGTAGCTGGTATCAGGGCTGTTGATCAGAACCTGGTACTGCCTCCAGAATATAAATCACAAGTGCTAACTAGTTAATCGCTCTTTTTAGTAATGTTGTTGCAAGTTGAGGGTTATTTTATCAGTATACTCATCTCTACCACATAAAGTGGCAGCAAATTTGACAAGCCAGATTCACTTGATAATATTACTTTTCAGAATCTTACACTTATTTGCATTACTTAAGCAGTCAGCTCACTTACACAGACTTAACTGTTCACTGGTATGTGGAAACCAAAATCCAAAATGTGTTATTACTTTTTAAAATATTGGAAGAGGGAATGGTATTATTGTTGTAAGAAGGACTGTAGTTTGTACCCTGTTTCCCATGAACATTCTTTTGATTGTGGTGGTAGGGAGGATGTGCTATTTAGTTCCACTTCACTCTTATCACATTATTTGACTAGTGTGTTGAAGATGGATTCATTTCAGTTCTGTTGAACTACCTACAATTTTGATATTGGTATGTGGAAAATGTTGTTTGTCTGTGAAATGATCATTATATTTATTCAAGCACTTTGGAAATGCTAATAGTTAAAGATGATCTCCAAAACTATGAAATGCCATTACATTTGTGTATGCAAATTATTGTTTATACCATTGTGTTTCTGGACGTTATCCGTTCTCCTTTTTATTTAAAACACAACCTTTTGGAGACTGGATTCTCTCTCTGTCTTCAGGTGGAGCCGATTCAGTTGGGCCCAATTGACGGAGCATCCCTGTCTCCAGACACCTGCCCCTACACAAGCTAAATGAAGCACAGCACAAACCATCTGTGAGAGTTAAGACAAACATTAAGAACAAGAAACTGGATTTAGTCCGCAAGCGAACTATACCAACCGAGCTAAAAGGAACTCCAGACATGAGGCCTAGCACCCATGCTCATGCATTATTTTGCAGCGATTGTTAACAACATCAGCCTACATATAGCATCTGTGTCTAGGCAGTATTTCATGGCTATTGTTAAAATGTGATTTTAACAAGAATACGCTCTGTATATATAGCACATATGTAAAGGTCATGGAAAGTTGTCCAGGTGCTTAACTAAATAAGAACTCTGCTATGATGAAATGTTGGGGGAGTGGATGTATATACCCACATCTTCTTGACCTCAGCACTAGTTGGAGGTGAGTTGTCAATTTCACACCCTGGGTGCTTTACCTCTGGGGAAAAACTCCCTGGTACCCATTGAATAGAAGGCTGGGTGGGCCTCAGAGCTGGTCTGGACGAGATCGAAAAGTGAAAATTCTTGACCCACTGTGATTTGAACTCTGACCCCTAGGTTGTCCAGCCTGTAGCCAGTTGGTATACCAACTGTGCTGTCCTGGCTCTTATATAGCACATAAGTCCATGCACTATTTCATGGCCTTGTATGTGGAGTTTCTTTCAATGTTTGTATTAACTCTTGCAGATGGTTTGTGCTGTGCTTGGTTTATATAATCTTCTCTTGTATTGGTGCTGGTGTCCAACTTGCTCTGATGATTGAGCCCAACTGAGTAGGTTCCACCTGAAGATCGAGACAGAATCCAGTCTCTGAAACGTTTTTTAAATAAAAAACAAGATGATAATGTGCAGAACACAATAATTGTATTAATATAACATTGTCACAAACTTTTATATTTTATTATTTATTTAAAGAAAGATTGCTAGGTCAGTAATATACTGCCTCTATTGTTAGTGTGGAGAATTATTTCCTTCAGACACAAAAGTTTCTGTGTTAGATTATGAATCTCAGGAGATTAATTAAGATGCTGTTGGCAGCTCTGAACTTACATTGAAAATTGCTTGCTTCAAAGTAGATTTCTGTACAACTTGAGGGACTTAATTTTGCTTCTGGTTTTCTTGAGAAGTTCTGTGTTCTGGCATGTAAAGCTATGTAATCTGTTCACCTCCACCTTCAGTGAAAAATGTTATATCCTAAAATATAGAACCCTTCATAACCGCTGCTGTGAGAACCTCAAATCCTTCATATTTGTGTTTCCTCTTAGCATTGTGAGAAGAATGCTTTATTTTAAAGATGCCAGCAGGCCAGTATACTAACTGAGGTTCTGAACTTTCAGCTGTGTTGTCTAGTGTCTTGGAGGCAATCAGTCTTCCTGAAAATGCTGCTAAGCTTGGAGAAGCTAAAGACAATGCTGGCAATGACATGCTGAAGATGATGCAGTTTGTCTTCCCTATTGTTATGCAGATAGAAATGGATGTTATAAAAGACTATGGCTTTGCAGAGGGACGTGAAGGTAAAGTAAAGCAGCTAGAGTAGTCATGTAATACGTGGTCATTTCTTTCTGAAGTGTGTCCTGCCCTAAATAAACTAATTCAGTGATTCCTAAACTGTGATTTGTAGACCTGTAAAGATAAGTGATGTGTGTAAGGTTTACTAGTCAGGAGTAGATATGATGGGAGTTCAGGCGATGCAGCTGAACCATTCACTCTTAGATAATGTTGGTGTATTGTAGAATAGGAATGTCTTGTGACAACTGAAGCATGTTCATTTATTGTGAGGTAGCTACTGAGCTATGCGCAGTTTACCAAGTACTCCTTGTCATTTTATTTTACTTTACTTTTCTAATTTTATCCCTTCCTCCACCCCATGTTTCTTTCTTCTTTCTCTCTGTCATCTTCACCCAGTCTTATTTTATTTTCTTATGTGATCCCAGTCCTTCCAGCTGCACTATGGCCCCGGGGTTGACTCAGCCTATAACAGAAATGAGTACCAGGAGTTAATTAATATTTCTGGGGAGTAAAGTGCAGCCGGTGCGTAAGGCTGACAACCTTACCGCCATCTTTGAGCTGATTGTTTGGATAATATGGGACCCTCAACGTCTCACAACCCTGTGGACGTGGTACAGGGCTAGCTTTACTTTACTTACTTATGTGATCACTACAAATTTATTATGTATTGTCACGTGTTAATGACTAAAGATGGCGTTTGAATTGGTAATTGGATTTATTAATCATCTACAGGTCATAACTACAAATAATTATTACACTGTTGCTGATTTACACAATTTACAATCACTGCATGCTAATCTTCTCAGTCTATTTCCACTGGTCTTCACTATCTGCTTCTTGGCAACAGATTTATAACACAGAAACTATAAAAGTCTCACTAAATCCCACACTCCCAATGTCACTGTACTGCTGCACACATATATTCTCCAGAGGCTGACTTCCTGTACTCTTCTGTACTCCTCAACCTTTTTTTTTTTATTTCACTTAGTGGGGGGGGGGGGGAGTCTGACTGGGTCCACTTGGCATGGCAGCCACTCATTGGCCTATTGTAGCTTGCCCCAGGTGATTATGATGATGGAGAATTTGGTGGAATTGAGATTGGCAAGGGAAACTGAAGTACTTTGAGAAAACCTGCCCCAGTGCCACTTTGTCCATCACAAATCCCACTTGACCAGACCCCGGGATCAAACCTGGGCCGCCACGGTGGGAAGTCAGTGACTAACCACTTGAGCTATGGCATGGCCTACTCCTCAAGCTTACTACTTGCTTACTGTACTCCTCCAACTTACCGCAATACTCCGTCTTCTCAGTCACTCACTCACTGCCTGCTTCTTTGAAATCTGCTCACTTATGAAGATGCAGCACAGATGCCTCACAAAATACACATCACATAACACTATTTACTATTGTATGGTGTCACAGTGCATGCACCAGTTGCGCGGACAAAAATAAAACATGTCATGTGACCACTACCTATTGTTGTGTGCATGTGGCCTAGAGATTATGTCCTTCTACTGTTGCATGTTGGAACATGTTTATAGAGCTGTGGCCTGGAAATGGGTGTTCAAGTTACAGTATTCATTTTTTGCTACTGTTCATTCTCTTACCTTCCTTTCCTTCTTCCTATATTGGTACGTAGCTGATTCCAAAAGTAAGGTCTCCAAAGCGCTGGGTAATTTTTTGTGCGGCTGTTGGCAACCCTGTTGCATTCGTTGCTTCCCCCACTCCCCCCAATACCACCAAGCATGTGCGCACGTAGCTAGGACGCTCAGTCTTGGCACGATTGCCGTTAGAAATGGAGCTCCCGATTACTAAAACCGTGAAGTGTGAGATTCGCGCAGTTATTTGGTTTTTGAACACAAAAGGGACTAAACCAATTGAAATTCATCGTCAATTGGTGGAAGTGTATGGCGAGTCGTGCATGGACATAAAGAACGTCCGCAAGTGGTGTAGGGAGTTTGAATCTGGTCATACTGCAATACATGACGAAAAAAGAACTGGGAGACCGTCAATTTCTGATGAGACAGTCGCGAAGATTGAGCGAGTCATGCGTCAGGATAGGCGCATCACACTCGATCTCTGCATTTCGGTTCCTGAGGTTTCCCGAACCACCATTTATCGGGTTTTGACAGAGAAGTTGAATTATCGGAAGGTGTGCGCAAGCTGGGTCCCGCGAATGCTCATGGAAGACCACAAACGGCAGAGAGTTGACTCTTCCTGTGAATTTCTTCGCCGCTATGCTGACGGAAAGGACAACTTCTTGAATTCAATTGTCACAGGCGACAAAACCTGGGCGTACCACTTCACACCTGAGACAAAACAACAATCACGTCAGTGGCAGCATTCCTCTTCGCCTAAGCCTCGAAAATTCAAGCAAACACAGTCTGCCGGTAAAGTCATGGCAACTGTGTTTTGGGATCGAAACGGGGTATTGTTGGTTGACTTTATGGAAACTGGGACCACAATAAACGCTGAGAGATATTGTGAGACACTGAGAAAACTCAGGCGGGCGATTCAGAACCGGAGAAGAGGGATGTTGAGCAAGGGCGTAAGCATTCTCCACGATAACGCTCGCCCCCATGCTGCCCGACAAACCATCGCTCAACTGCAACAGTTTGGATGGAACATCATCACCCATCCACCCTATAGTCCGGACTTGGCGCCCAGTGACTACCATCTCTTTCCAAAGTTGAAAGAACATTTGTCTGGAAAGCGCTTCAACAACGACGATGAGGTGAAAGCTGAGGTTCGAAGTTTCCTGAACAGCATGGAGGTGAACTGGTATGACATGGGCATACAAAAACTGCCACTGCGCCTACAAAAATGCATCGACCGAAATGGCGATTATGTAGAGAAATGAGTACATGTTCAAGATTCAACTGATATATCCAAAATTGAAAATAAATGTTTATTTTATATTTTCAAACATAGGAGACCTTACTTTTAAAATTACCCTCGTATATCTGTCACATATTCTTGTTGTCACGTCATATTGGTCTCCACACAGCTTCATTCCTGCTCCTGCTCCCTTATAATAGGACCACTTTTTTCATGTTCTGCTTACTCATCTACTTGAAGATGCATGCAGCACATTTCTCAGAAATGTTAGTAATGATCTTCCAGACTACATGGCCTCACATCACATTTTTAATTTTTTAGTATATACAGTTTAAAGTAAATTAAGCACAATAGATCATTGAAGGTTGCAGTGCAAGGGCTAGATTATTATGGCGCACCCCTTATGCATTCAGTCATACTTTAAAATATACATCTAAAGAAAAAATAAGCAAACTGTGTTTCTCAAAATGCGAAGGCCAAACAGCCAAGCCTTATATGGACTGAAGCCAAATGTGAGGTAACAAAGAGAAAAAGATTCAGTGGAAGAAGTGGGGTCTGGTGGATGGAGTGATAGGGTGATACAGAATATCTGGGCACCTTGTGTAAAACATGCAGGAAATCTACAAGAGATTTTTTAACGTTCAAATAATGCAACTAGTCTGGGACTAACGAGATTTTTTTCTCACTTAAACTACTACTACTAGAACTAAACTCTCAGACTACTCCCACCGGTTTGTCCCAGCATCTGGTGTCTTGAGCACATTGTTGTTGCACTTGTATCACTGTTTACACTAAAGTGCACTTGCACTACGCTAGTTCAAACGGCTTGAGTCTCTTGAGCCTTCTCACTATCCTCTCGTCAAGAAGCTGTATGGCTTCCATGTTGGTGTGGTGGTGAAGCTTTTCTTCGTGCTTCTTAGCTATCCTTTTAATTTTGGCAGTGACCATCCTAATGCCAAGATCCGTGTGGATGTCACTATTACGGGTGTACCAAGGGGCATTTACTATTCTCCTCAGCACTTTGTTCTGAAATCTCTGTATTGTTTGAATGCTACTCTTACTGGCACAACCCCACAGCTGTATTTCATAAGTCCAGACTGGTTTTATGATGGACCACGACGAGGCAGCCTGGTGAGAAAATATGGGCACCAGCCACATGGAGATGGTGTCCGCATTTAAACCCGAAATAGAGGCAGAGACGATGGTTTGCCAAGAGATGGAGGCACGTCTACAAGAAGAAAAGCCGGCCTCAGTGGACATGAAACCTGCGGCGGCACAACAAGAAGAGGTCCCCATAGTGATACTGGTCAGAGTGACGATGGCCTGCTGAGAAATGGAGGCACGTCCAGAAGAAGAAGAGCCGGCCTCAGTGGACAGGAAACCTGAGGCAGCAGAACAAGAGGTACCCGTAGAAGACGCCGAAGTAATGCCGGTCGGAGAACTGAAGAAGAAAAGGCGTAGGGACAAAAACAAGCGACAAATGAAGAATTCGACACGGGAAAATTGTGGACCCAAGAGGAAGTTGGCTGCCACCTGCAGGAAGGTATCCCATCGCACAACAGTGGCATGACATTGGAGAAATGCCTTCAAGAAGGAAACTACCCAGGGAACCTTCGGATGCCAGAGAAAAGAATTGGCCGTCGACAGTTGTCTACACCGTCTCTGCGAGCAGCCTTATGACGAGTCTCAACCACTGTGCCCGTAGCAGCATAGAGAAATCAGCAGTAGGCACTGTTGCGCCACGGTCTCGTACCAGCAAGTGGCAGGAAGAACAGAAGGAACGATGACTTCAGCAAGTGCACACAACACTTCAAGTGCTGTTACATCGACATAAGGAACTTCCGAAGAAAGTAATGATAAAGAATTGGACCTTGTGGAGGGGTCGACCCCCTCCAAAGCAGAAAAAGAAACAACGGATAGAGGAGGAACCGGTAATGTAGAAGTAGCGGCCTCCCGAGGAAGAGTGAATGTGTGATGAATGAATATGATACAACTGGATCTTCTGGCAAGTTAGCAGGAAACCACTTGAGACGGGCTGGTCTTAAGAGGGGAGCGGTTGTAACAGCAGGAGAATAGTCGCTGCAGAGGAGTAGCTGAAACAACAGGAGACACAGCAAGCACAGCAACGGGAAGAAAAAGGAACGGGGATGTACCATTAGGCTCTTCGGGATGAACAACCTTTAGAAGGGAGCAGTGTGACGTGGATGGCATAGTGGGAGGTGGGGGTCGCGTGAACTCTGTAATCTCACGAGTGACACCACATACCCCCACTCTGTCCATCAGTGTGCAATGCTCGGTAGACAACCCTTTCCCCCTGGTGACGTAACACGGGATGCCGCAGTTGCTACGTAGCTGTAAACAACTCCTGGCAGCACTGCCCAGCAATGCTTTTGTAAACACGGCGGGGAGTCCGTGCGATGACTGTTCCTAGGCAATCGTTAAACACGACGTTATGCAACAGTGGTGCCTATTACGTAACTGTTTTCTGTGTTGTCCATAACGGGGCTAAATAAGGAGCAGTGAACACTATTCAAGAGTTAGTTACGAGTTAACCAGGCAGTCAGCCAACCAGTCAGTTGTAGTCTAGCATTCGCAGACCAAGTAATTGTGATACTGCAGATAGCAGTAATTGTGAAACTGTAAATTGGTGTGATTGTAAGAGCGAGTGTGAAATAAAATTCGCCATATCCAGTATGGCGTGAAGTTGCATGTCGTGTGTTATACACCCAACATTTGACAATATGATGCACCACTGCTTGGTCCATGAGTTGACCATGTTAATGGCTTGCTGCAGTTTATCTGTTGCTTCTTCTGTGTTATCTCCTACTGTCATTATAGCAGTGTCATCAGCAAAGGTCGCTATTGTAGTGTTTGCTGTTCAGGGCACATCATATGTGTATAACAGGTACAGGACTGGTTCTAACACGCTGCCTTGTGGGACTCCCACTTTTATCTCTTTGAGATATGAATATTTGCTTCCTTGTTTTATTCTAAATAGCCTGCCTGAAGGGGGCACGCTGAAATGTAGGACTAATATTTGACAATATTGCTTTGGCAGCAGCTAAGTAGAGAAATGAATCAGATGTGATGAAATATTATAATCCTTTATTGTGTCATTAATGAGCTATGATATCGTTATTGTCGTTAAATGCATGCATTGTTTCCTAATGGAACAAGCCTGGCAATGCTTCATATCAAACTTTTTATATGAAAATATGACTTCATAAATACGTTGTGCGTTCAAGTTCTAAGGTCTCCGATTTTTTTTCTCACACAACAATCATACAAAAAATTTGAAACTTCTGTCACTTTTCAATGTAATCTCCCTGCAGCCGTACACATTTTTCACAACGTCGACGCCATGATTCCATAGCCGCTGCGAACGCTTCTGTAGGAGTCTGTTTTGACCACTGGAAAATTGCTGATATAATAGCGGATTGAAAAACGGCATCCATGTCTCATCCATTGTCACAGTTGATGAAAAGAAAGTCCCGTTCATGCCTTCATCATTGCCATGCGTGCAGCCTTGTGGTCATCCGCCAAAATTCGTGGAACCCACCTGGAGGACACTTTCCGCATTCGCAGGTCTTCATGCAGGATTTTGTGCAGATCCCACGGAAATGCCAACTTTGGAGGCGATGTTTTCCACACAATCGGCGATCCTCCAAAACAACTTTCTCAGCTCGCTCGACCATGTTGTCAGACCGGCTGGTGCGAGGCCGAGATTGTTTTGGTTCGTTGTCACATGACATTCGGCCTTCTTTGAACTGTCGCACCCACGAGCTCACATTTTTCACATTCATGACACCATCACCACATGTCTCACTCAACTGGCGATGAATATCAATGGGTGTCGCACCACGCAAGTGGAGAAAACGAATGATTACTCGCTGTTCTTGTAACGAAAATGTCGCCATTTTAAGTATCAAAAACACTCCTGACTCTCACTGCTACCACTAGAGTTCTGTGTGCCGTAGAGTGCTGCCATCTCTGTCACGCATTCACAAAGAGTGCACAAGTATTTTAAACTAAACCACATGTGTCTATCTGCTCCCAGTCCTTAGAAAAAAAATTGGAGACCTTAGAACTTGAACGCCCCTCATAAGAACCAAGCCATGGCTGTATACCAGTAAACATTCCACAGAGTCTGGAGTAGATGAAAACAACAAGTGAGTCTGCTTTGAAACCACTGAAGCAGAGGAATACATGGCAACATATTTTGAAAAAATTGTTCCATTTTTATCCCCAGGGATTGTGCACTTTGCTCAAGTAATACGAATGCTAGAGAGAGAGGATCCAGAGGTGGCACATCTCCACGCACAAGTTCGTGCGAATTTTCTGCCTCCAGTGTCTATCAGTACTGAACCCTCATCATGAACCATGAATCAGAACTATGAACATGAAGGTCTGAGTATTGGTTGTTGTGTGAGATGTGTCTAACATACTGCATCAGGTGACTGGTTGTCATCAGCCATTTCTCTGTATCAGTTTCATAAAAGCAGATTTGCTGATGACTGTCTTGACATGGCTTTAGTATTTTAAGGCAGCTGCAGGATTACATGCATTTTGAGTTTCTGTATTCAAAGAACCAGCCATCAGAGAATGGTATACAGGAACTTTGCCTATTTTTCAGTATTCCTTGGTTGATGTTAATTCTGCCAGTTTGTTACTGAAGTGTTGATGGCTATCACATTATACACTGCTTGATATATTTGACAGTATGGTAACCTGTTACTTATATCTTTTACTTGCATGATATTATGACCTGGTTAGACATTACTCGCAGAAAAATGGTATAACATTGTAGACTTACTGTAGCTTATTGAGTTGTTAGGCATTAAATTAAACTCTGAATACAAATTTGAAATTCATTCTGTTGATTACTTTTTGAGTCCTATATAAGATTCTCCTATCTCTCATTGCCTTTGCATTATTGCATATCAAAGAACTGTAATCATATCACATCTTCTGGATCACCTTTTATGCTTGTCCAACATGCCATGATCTGGCCTTCTGGAAACTGTGGCCAGTCTGATGTTATTTCTTGGCTCAGCATAGTATCAAATAATATTGTGACGTGCTGCGCTATGCAGGACCCCCCCCCCTGCCAGCGGTGACATAACACCACCAGAGCGCTGTCGTTACTAGGGTAGCAGGCAAGTGAACACTCCTTCCCCTACCCCGCTAGCGGTGACGTGGCCAAGGGATGCCGCTGTTGCTATGCAGCCATAAACAACTCCTGACAGCGTTGCCAGTAACGCCTGTAAACACGGCGCCAGACAACAGTGGTGCCTATTACGTGGCTGTTTTCTGTGTTGTCCGGAACGAAGCTACATAAGGAGCAGCGAAGACTATTCACAGTTAGTTTACGAGATAGTTACGAGTTAGCCAGGCAATCAACCTTTCAGTTGTAGTCTAGCATTTGCAGTCTAGTATTTGTGATACTGCCGATGGCAATAATTGTCAGATTGTAATTTATGTGATTGTAAGAGCGAATGTGAAATAAAATTCACTATATCAAATACGGCGTGAAGTTATTTGTCGCGTTATACACTCAACATGTGACAATTTGGTGTCAGAAGTGGGATCAGTTCGGATTAACCGGATCAAACTTAAAAGATTGGACTGCACACGTGACCGACAGGATTCAAACTCAAGACACATGACAATTTGTCGCGTTATACACACCAACACGTGATAATTTGGTGTCAGACATGGTTTACGAACTTATACACATGAAAAGAACATGGAATCTTCAGCAGATGATGGAACTTCTGCTGAAGAAAATCAGCGCTGGTCAAGAAAAAACAGATGAAATGCTGAAAGAGATAATGGCCTACAAAGAAAAGGTGACGGTGACTTGAAAGCCTGGCGAGAAAAGTTGGATGCAGAGACAAGAGCAACCCAAGCAAGGACGGCTGCCATGTGAGAAAATATGCGCACCAGCCACATGAAGATGGTGTATGCATTTCACCCCGAAACAGAGGAAAAGACGATAGCCTGCCAAGAGATGAAGGCAAGTCTAGTAGAAGAAAAGCCAGCCCCAGTGGACACGAAACCTGCAGCGGCAAAACAAGAAGAGGTTGCCACAGTAATACCGGTCGTAGAACCTGAAGAGGAAACAACGGATACCAGAGAAGAGATGGAGGCACGTCTACAAGAAGAAAAAGAGCCGACCTTAGTGGACAGGAAACCTGAGGTGGCGCAACAATGAGAAATCCCCAACGAAGTTGCCGTAGTGAAACTGGTCAAAGGATGGAAGAAACGGTATAGGGGCAAGAAGCAAGCTGCAGGGCGATGTGGAGAGCCACAGAAAGTAACCCGAGGAATTTCTGGATCCCGGATGAAGTTGGCCGCCGCCTGCAGGAAGGTGTCCCGCCGTGTAACAGTGGCATGGCGCAAGAGGAATATCTTCAGGAAATCTTGGACCCAAAGAAATTGTGGACCGCTGAAGAGAAGCGACACAAAGATGTCCTGTCGCGCAACAGTGGCACAACGCAAGAGAGACATCGTGAAGGAGAACCTTACTCAGGGAACTGGTGGACCCGGGAGGAAGTGATTGGTCGCAGCCAACAAGAAGATGACTAGCTGTGCAAATGTGACACAGCGCAAGAGATGAGACTCCAGGGAGATCAGTTACAGTAGCGCACAAGCCACCATAAAGATGTGTCCAAGAAAGCACGAGAAGGACTTCAACGTGAGAGGAGGACACAAGGACTCGTCCTGAAAGGGAAATTCGACGCATGTGCAAGTGTACATTCAGACATGTTGCACGGAATCCCAGCAGATGGAAACATCAAGAACTGGATACTGNATCAAACTTAAAAGATTGGACTGCACACGTGACCGACAGGATTCAAACTCAAGACACATGACAATTTGTCGCGTTATACACACCAACACGTGATAATTTGGTGTCAGACATGGTTTACGAACTTATACACATGAAAAGAACATGGAATCTTCAGCAGATGATGGAACTTCTGCTGAAGAAAATCAGCGCTGGTCAAGAAAAAACAGATGAAATGCTGAAAGAGATAATGGCCTACAAAGAAAAGGTGACGGTGACTTGAAAGCCTGGCGAGAAAAGTTGGATGCAGAGACAAGAGCAACCCAAGCAAGGACGGCTGCCATGTGAGAAAATATGCGCACCAGCCACATGAAGATGGTGTATGCATTTCACCCCGAAACAGAGGAAAAGACGATAGCCTGCCAAGAGATGAAGGCAAGTCTAGTAGAAGAAAAGCCAGCCCCAGTGGACACGAAACCTGCAGCGGCAAAACAAGAAGAGGTTGCCACAGTAATACCGGTCGTAGAACCTGAAGAGGAAACAACGGATACCAGAGAAGAGATGGAGGCACGTCTACAAGAAGAAAAAGAGCCGACCTTAGTGGACAGGAAACCTGAGGTGGCGCAACAATGAGAAATCCCCAACGAAGTTGCCGTAGTGAAACTGGTCAAAGGATGGAAGAAACGGTATAGGGGCAAGAAGCAAGCTGCAGGGCGATGTGGAGAGCCACAGAAAGTAACCCGAGGAATTTCTGGATCCCGGATGAAGTTGGCCGCCGCCTGCAGGAAGGTGTCCCGCCGTGTAACAGTGGCATGGCGCAAGAGGAATATCTTCAGGAAATCTTGGACCCAAAGAAATTGTGGACCGCTGAAGAGAAGCGACACAAAGATGTCCTGTCGCGCAACAGTGGCACAACGCAAGAGAGACATCGTGAAGGAGAACCTTACTCAGGGAACTGGTGGACCCGGGAGGAAGTGATTGGTCGCAGCCAACAAGAAGATGACTAGCTGTGCAAATGTGACACAGCGCAAGAGATGAGACTCCAGGGAGATCAGTTACAGTAGCGCACAAGCCACCATAAAGATGTGTCCAAGAAAGCACGAGAAGGACTTCAACGTGAGAGGAGGACACAAGGACTCGTCCTGAAAGGGAAATTCGACGCATGTGCAAGTGTACATTCAGACATGTTGCACGGAATCCCAGCAGATGGAAACATCAAGAACTGGATACTGTGGAGGTGTCGACCCCCTCCAAAACGAAAAAGAAGCAAAGCACAGAGGAGGAGCCAGTAATGTAGAAGTATCAGCCTCCCAAGCAAGAGTGAATGTGCGATGGATGAATGTGATAGAACTGGATCTTCTGGCAAGTTAAAAGGGAACCGCTTGAGACGAGCTTTGTCTTAAGAGGGGAGCGGATGTAACGGACGAAGAATAGTCTCTGCAAGAAGAGTAGCCGAAGCAACAGGTGACACTGCAAGCACAGCAACGGGAAGGAAAAGGAATGGGGGTGCACTGTTAGGCTATTTGGGACAAACAGCCTTAAGGAGGGAGCAGTGTGAGGTGTTGCGCTATGCAGGACCCCCCCCCCCCGGCCAGCGGTGACGTAACACCACCAGAGCGCTGTCATTACTAGGGTAGCAGGCAAGTCAACACTCTTTCCCTACCCCGCTAGTGGTGACGTGGCCAAGGGATGCCGCTGTTGCTATGCAGCCATAAACAACTCCTGACAGCGTTGCCAGTAACGCCTGTAAACACGGCGCCAGACAACAGTGGTGCCTATTACATGGCTGTTTTCTGTGTTGTCCGGAACGAAGCTACATAAGGAGCAGCGAAGACTATTCACAGTTAGTTTACGAGATAGTTACGAGTTAGCCAGGCAGTCAACCTTTCAGTTGTAGTCTAGCATTTGCAGTCTAGTATTTGTGATACTACCAATGGCAGTAATTGTCAGATTGTAATTTGTGTGACTGTAAGAGCGAATGTGAAATAAAATTCGCTATATCAAATATGGCGTGAAGTTATTTGTCGCATTATACACCCAACACGTGACAATATATTATTAAATTTGGGAATTTATTGGCAGTAATTACACATTTTTGTGTGGCACTTCCAAAGGTCTAGTAGTGAAATTATTGTTATTTGGAATTCAGCTTTTGTTGTCAGTAATTATTTGCTGTTTAACCATACACAACAAGTGGTAATTGCTCACTTGTGTTGGCTGACTTCTGTTGTATGTATGGTTGTGCCACTTCAGTTGTGGGTTATTTCTTATCTTGGAAAGTATTTAATATCTTGTCAGAATATTTTTATGTGGATATTACTGTGACATCGTTTGGACCAGGATAAGTTGTTTCAAGAAACTGTGAATATGGAAATCAACCTATTGTGATGGTTAATGCTAGCTGCTGCACATGATTTTGACCTACATTTGGATTACTTTATTTGCCTGTAAAAATTTTTACTCAATATACATAGGTTGTACCGAAAGTCATGAGCAACTTTTTTTTGCATGCAACCTGAGAACGGCAGACGAAAGAGAGTAGGGTGGTAGGTGGAACCAGCTGTTGTGTTAACCTTGAGTGTCTTGTGACATCAATAGCTTGCATCATGTGACCAGTATCACTCCTAACAAAATGGCCGACAACAATATGTCGTTTTGCCAGCGTGCTGTCATCTAATTTCTTGTGAAAGAGGAAATCCCTGCTGCAGAACTTCACCAGAGACTTCAGCGTGCTTATGGAAATGTGTGCATGGGTGCGAGTAGTGTTTGAAGATGGGTGAAACATTTTAAAGATGGGAACACCAGCATCGAAGATGAGCCTCGGAGTGGTCGTCCTCAAACAGTCTCAACTGAATGCAACAAGGAAAGAGTGGATGAGATGATTCAAGATGACAGGCATGTGACTGTGGACACAATAGCCCAAAAACTTAGAATAGGGCACAATGCAGTACAGGAGATGATTGAAAGCATGGGCTATAGGAAAGTTTGTGCTCGTTGGGTCCCGTGGTTATTGACTGAAGACCACAAAGGTCAGCGAAAAGCCATCACATCAGAACTGCTGCAGAGATATCGACACGAAGG